GTGCGGGCTGCTTAGTTTACCTACCAAGCAAACCCTGGTGTTAGTGTTCTCTCATGAACTGCCTTTCGGCCGCTGACATGGTTCATGTTATGACAACCACTACCATCAGAGATATTAATGACCGAGATCACCTACGTAGGTTGATAGGTAAGTAACTATTTATTTATTTTGTAGTTTTCAGTGCACATAAAATAAAACCGTTTAACTTAAAAGTTTTTTTACCGATTTTTATTTTTTATACAACTTAGAATGACAAACAAGCTGACGGCCCACCTGATGGTAAGTGGTAACCGTCGCCTATAGACATGAGCAGTACCATGGGCATAACAGAGTATACTGTTTCGCCCATGATACCTCCCATGCGTTGCCATTCCTAAGGACTCGGGTGTATTCCTCTGTACCCAGTAAATTCACGCCATATCCCACCCTTCAAACTGAAACACAGTCATGCGAACACAACTGCTTCACGGTTGAAACACGAATGGGACAGAGATACCCAAGCAATCGACTTTTGTACAAAATCTCCCTCTGATAAAAACTGTGCATTAAAGTTTAAATCAATAAATAAAAATCTTACTATAGGTACTTATTGTGCTGTAACAGACGAATGGACGTTTCAAAGTCGTATCGTAAAGGTTTCTTAATGCCATTTCAATACGGAACCCTAAAAACTGCATACGGATTCATACAAACGTGACCAACATTCCGAATGCATTAATTTTATAAAATGAATATTATTATGTTGGTCACATCATATTCGTTTCATAAAATTGGAACGACACTGATATTTTTAATTAAAAAATATAAACCGACCCGGATGCACTAGCACTATAGTGCCTTAATTTTATCTTTATCTATACCACAGATAATATAATACTATGGAGGGGAAAAGGGATTGTTAGTAATGGAGACTGAGAATCCCATTGCTAGCAATATACGCAACCAGGTCGACCTCCTCGCGGTACCTCCTAGAAACTATCATGGTTAATTCCTGACGAATTCATCATGATGGGCTAACTGGCCTGTTTTCATTCTCATCTATCGACCTTCACTGGTACTCCGCCAGCGTATCCCGTTAGCGCAGGCGGGGTTACCATACCATTTTCACCCATCAAAAAAAATACTATACGGAATAGATAATTGTTATTTATATATATTTATTTGTTTATGTATGTAATTTTAGTATGTATGTATATCAATAATTACTAGTACCGCATTCGAGTATTCTGACACTTCCCTATAGTTGACTGGGAGAGAATGCTTTTAGCATTAAGTCCGCCATGTACACATATATGTACTAATGAATTAATAAATAAATATAGAAGGGTGTAGGCTACTTTTTATCTCGTTCAATGAATGTATCCCAGGCAGACGAAGTCGCGGCTAAGAGTTAGTAGTTAGTGTTACAAATGACACGTAGGCGTTTGTAATTAGGCTCCAATACAAGTCTTTAACAATATTTAACTTTCGCATAATTTATACCACTAATTTTAATGAGAAAGCCTCTGGGAGCTACCGAAGGACATATTGGACATACCGCTGTGACTATTGGTGTTCCATTTTGCCAATTTTAGCAGGAAACACCCACGGACAGGGTCCGTCCCTCGTCATGCGGTCACGGGGAGTCTGAGTCAATCATTTACACATTGACGGATCGTTTTAACCGATTGTGTAGAAAAAGGTGTCGAGTATTGCTTCTTATCTTCTTAATGACTAACTGTGTCCCGGGCTCCGCTCGCAGTGAATCAGTACGTATTTTATTTGCTAAGCTAAATTAAATTAAATTGTATTCTAATCCGTTCAATAGTTTTTTCGTGAAAGAGTAACAAACAGAGAGGGACTTACCAGAGTGAGCTTTTGTACAAAAGTCGTTTGCTTGGACACCTTTTTCTCATTCGTGTTTCAACTGTGAAGCAGTTGTGTTTGCATGGCTGTGTTTCGCTTTGAATGGTGGGATATGGTAGTGAATTTACAGAGTGCAGAAGAATAACATCTCATTCCTCAGCATGGGGGTATCATGGGCGAAACAGTATGTATACTCTGTTATGTCCATGGTACTGCTCATGTCTACCATATATGCGACGGGTACCACTTTCCTTCAGGTGGGCCGTCAGCTTATTTGCCATTCTATGTTGCATAAAAAAGAAAAAAATCTGTCCATCTATCTATCATTACAGTTTTTCGCATTTATTATTTTATAGACAGAACTAGCTTTTACCTGTGAATATGTCTGCGTAACCGGGATATGATCACTAACCGGGACAAAAACCAGGCTATGTCCTTCTCCACCCTACTTATTTATTAAAATTTTTAATGAACAGTGAAACTCTATGCACATTTGGCAAACTCAACACCGGACGATGTTCTCTACCAGTCAACCATTGGGCAAACCGAGAAATAAATAGGCGATGCATTACTAAATTGAAAAAATATAAAAAGCAATGCTTAATATATTCATATATTATAAACATATAATTAGACTAATATAAACATACATATAATTTGTTAAATAAATAAATATATACATACATGAATAAATACATAAATATTACTGTAACAGACAATTAGCTGTATTAGAAGAATGAAACAATCTACGACTCTAAGTAGCCTATGTGTATTCCAAATTTCATAAAGATTGGTTAAGTCGTTACAAAGAAAGAAAGGAGAAATCCAAATAGACTAGTATTACATAGAATTCCTAGGACAACGATTTATCAAAATTTTTTTTTTTTACAACACAGGGGGCAAACGAGCATGCGGCTCACCTGATGGTAAGTGACTACCGCCGCCCATGATCACCCACAACACCTACGGCATTACAGGTGTGCTGCCGGCCTTGTAAAAAGGAATATACTCTTTTCTTGAAGGTTATGTTGTCGTATCGGTTCGGAAATACTGCTGCTGGAAGTTGATTCCAAAGAATGGTTGTGTGTGGAAGAAAGTGCCTTGAAAAACGCACGGTGGAAGACCGCCACTCGTCCAGGTGATTGGGATGAAACTTTAGTTTGTGGCGGGTTGTACGGTGGTGAAAATCAACAGCAGGTATCAGTCCGAACAAGTCCTAATATACCCGAAAATATTATAAATATAAAAACACTGACAAAATTTAAGAACGCACTGTACAAATGACTTTAGGACAAGTGTTATTACTCAATTAAGGACTTGTTGGACTAAAGAATAATTCCACTTTATAAGCACATAAATAATATTTTGTTAATAGTATTTGAAAAGAAGTTACCATAAATATTAAAATTTTGCACTCCAATGTTTTGGCAAAACACGCCTGTTCCTAACATATTATTGCTAACATCTGTATACCATGTTTTTCAGCAAATAAATTATATTATTATTATAAAGGTTTAATTGGTTAAGGAAGTGACAAAGTCACTTTCACATTTATAGTGTTAGAAAGAATTACTTGAATCCATTCAAAGTCCAAATAGATCCTTTTGTGCCAAAATAGAATTGACAAAATAATACGCAATTTATTTAAAGAGAAACATACATGCAAAACTATAATAAATTATACAAATTTGAAAGTGGAACGCGACCTTTATTTAAATGGGAAATCTCATGGATGTAAAAGGTATTCAGTAATACCCAGTAGGGTAATAGATGCAGAGGATTTGTTGAATCCTATTGCAAACGTCGAGCTTATAAATATTCATGCCTTAAAATATAATAACACTTACCACTTCATCAACAGCTCCCCGTCCACTCATTACTTCAACGTCTTCCAGATCTTTCGTCGTTAATTTACTCTCGTCTATTATATCTTTAATTAATTTAGTATTCGAGTGTTCGTCTTCAAAAAAATAATCGATCACAACCATTTTGTTTGGCACTTCGCCGTAATCTTTTGCTTCTTCAGTTTGTGCGTTCCTTTTAATTTTACCTGTTGGAGAATCGAAATCTTCAACAGCCATATAATCTTCTGTATTCACATCAAAATTTCTCGTCGACCAAACATAATCTATTTCGGTCGTTGAATTCTCAGTAACATATTCGAGTGCCGTCAAATTGAGTTCCGTTATTGTTGGTATTCTTTTTATTGTTATATTTGCGTTGGCATAGTTGTACAGATCAGGCCAATAACGCGAACTGTACAGTGTTGCTGACAGTATGAAAAGTACAGAGACCAATATTAATAATATTATTAACTTTATTATTAATCTTAACAACGATATGTTTAGCTTCATTTTGAATAACATTCAATTAGATGTTAACGAACAAATATCCGATACGATACTGATTTTAGACGCTTATAACAATTTGTCAAGGGATTTCCATTGGAACATTACACTTGGCATATATGGAATAGAATAGGCAGTAGCAAACACAATGGGCTATAATGATGAATCCATTTTAGCGACAGACGTAGAGAATCTGTTAATAATTGCTTGCAAATTTTAATTGACGATACCTAAATCATCTTTTGTAATCAATGACGCATGAGGCGAGGCAAAAAACGTTGGCATCATTGATATATAGAGCCACAAAAACAGGTCAAGTTTTTATCAGCTAATTGTCAAATTAGCTGACTCGTTTTTTTATCAGTATTCTGCACACTTACGCGTAAAATGTATCTTGACGTATTATTTAAAAAATAAAATGAGTGTTTACACATTAAAAAGATGCAGAAATTATAAGACAAAATAAACATAGAAGTTATAAAAGAATCACTCATAACTATTTATCACGCAAAATTATATGAAAAATTTGCCCGTTTTTCTCGAAGCATTTCTATGGAGACTATCTATATAAGCATATGGGGTTACATATACAAATGAGGCATTGATAATAGAAGACATATGTATTTAAATTATGCACTTATTTCAAACCAACTAGTTATTATTGTTATCAAAGTTGGCTAAATGTTTTATAAATTAAATATCTATTTAGATACTAGATTAGTTTGTACGATATTTTTTATTCTGATTCATATGAGCATAGACAAAGATATAGACAGCTATTTAAAAAAAAAAACAAAAAAATCTATGTAAAATATATTTATTGTACCTTAATTTCTATTGAATAATATTAACAACAAAATAACTAGCACACAACATTCAACAACAGTCGCACGCAACAAACAACAGACTTTAACATTACATTAACAACAAATGCATTAACAACAAATGCACTTTAACAACAAATTAGATCTTGTGCGAGCCCTTCTTCGTGTGTATTATGGTCTCGTAGACCGGTACCTTGAATGGAACCGGTTTCTCCACAGGTACGATAATGTGCTTGACTACTTCAAAAGGCACTTCCTTGATTTTGGGAACGTGCACCGTCTTCTCTACGGGATAAGGTACAGACTTCTCTACAGGAATGGACACTTCCTTCACGATTGGCACGACGACCGCTTTTGGTACCGGTACCTGTATGGGTATGGGGTGCGGTACCGGTATGATGATGGGCTGGTTGATTTTGAACTCGACGTTCTTCGGAACTGGAACGACTACTTCTTTGTAGTGTTTTATCGGTTCCGGGTTCTCTTCTTCGACGTGCTCGTGGACTGGGTACGTATGGGCTTTCAGCTCGTGACCGCCGAATCCGTGACCGCCGAGGTCGTGACCGCCGTAATCGTGACCGCCGAGGCTGCTCTCGTGACCTCCTAAGCCGCCCCCGTGACCTCCAAAGTCGTAACCACCCGAGAAGTCGCTCGCTTGTAGCTGTAAACAAAATGATTAAGTTTAAGATAGATTGACAATTCCAGAAACAAAAGATTGGTATCTTTTGGTATCTAACCGATATTTAGAGGAAGAGGGGTTATTAGTAATGGAGACATTCGTCCCCGTTGCTAGCAACCCCCCCGTTGCTGACTGGGAGGTCAACCTCCACGCTGTTCCTGGAAACCGTCGTAATTAATACTAGTTGAATTCGTCACAATGGGCTAACTGACCTGCTTTCCTCATCACCTATCATCCCTCACCGGCGGGGCACCAGTGAGCGATGATAGGTGAGGATGAAGCAGGTCAATTAGCCCACTGTGACGAATTTAACAATAAATCAATCACGATGGTTTCCAGGGGGAACCACGAGGAGGTCGACCTGACAGAGTATATTGCTAATTACTTAGAGTAATTACTAACATTCCCTTCTCCCCCCAGGATTAAGGTGTTAGGCCTCTGAACCCTATAATTTTCATTGCCATATCTCACCCTTCAACTTGCATGTCAGTATTTAAGACATGCAAATATGGTTTTAAAAGTGAAGAAATCGTGAAGGAAGAGCAAACACAACTGCTTCACGGTTGAAACACGAATGGAACAGAGGTACTCAAGCAAACGATTTATGTACAAGGTCTTCCTTTGGTAACAATATATTCGTAAGAATTTTGTATCGTTTTTATTTTTAAATTTAACCTTATAAATTTCTCCTAGATGCTTAGTATTAACTATACATACTGGTAACCCGATTTGCTCACACATGGGTAAAATAGCTGACCTATTTTTGGGGTAACATTTGTATGGAGACAACCTACATACATAATCTAAGCATATAACCATTTTAATACTTTTTTAATATTCGTGCAGGCATTTATGACTCTCTTTATGCTTTTCCCGGAAATAAACTGTTAAACTACTGAATTTATTTTTTATTTATGCATAAAGCTTCGTTTCGCGCCAATTTAATAACAATAGAAACGGAAGAGTTAAAAAAAAAGCAATATAAAATCGCTCGCTGCATTCAACTGTTGTGGAGTTGTGAATGTGTCCAAGCTTATTTGTTCCTTTTTACTTTCATAGTTATTATTCTCGCTGGTTACTATTAAATATTTAATTTTTAAAATCATTTTACACACACACTATATTTAGTTCGCAAAGAAGAGGTCGCTACTGCTGCGTTGTTTTTTTTTTAAGTTCTGTTTATAATTGTAGACAATTGAGGTGTTGCGTTCATTTTTTTTTTATTCTGTTCATCTCAAAGGGAAAGGCAAAGGGCTCTGCCCATACAGCTCATGTCTATCGTAATAATTTTTAAGATGAGAAATGGAGTTTAATTGACATGTTATGTGTAGATAACTAATTGAAAATTTCAATATCGAATATAAATAATTAAAGATCGTGTCCCACAAAAAAACCGACTTTTTTGTGTGTTTTGAATTTTTTAATTGTGACAAAACCAGTTTTTTTTATCTAAAAAATAAACTACTAAACTGATTTCCATAAAATTTCTATGAAAGGAATCTGTAAGCATGTCCTTTTAGATAAAAAAAGAATTTTTCAAATAGGTTTACAACTGACGGAGTTATGAGATAACAACCATTAAAACGAATGCAACCGAATTGAAACCTCCTTACACCTCCTCTTTTTGAAGTCGCTTGAAAAAAGAATGTTTTCTATAAATATTTTAGTTTATAGTTTTTTGTTGTTGCTAGTTATTTTTTAAACCTTAAAAGTAATATTTTAGAATCAATAAAAGTATAATATAAGTAATACGAATACCAGAGGGAGACTTTGTACAAAAGTGCTTGGGTACCTCTGTCCCATTCGTGTTTCAACCGTGATGCAGTTGTGTTTGCATAGCTGTGTTTCGGTTTGAAGGGATATGGCGTGAATTTACTGAGTACAGAGAAATAACACCTGAGTCCTCAGGAATGGCAACGCATGGGCGGTATCATGGGCGAAACAGTACTCTGTTATGTCCATGTTACTGCTCATGTCTATAGGCGACAGTTACCACTTTCCATCAGGTGGGCCATCAGCTTGTTTGCCATTCTAAGTTGTATAAAAAAAAGCATATAACAGAAAAAACATTATTTATCGATTTTTTTTTCAAATTGACAACGCCTATACTTAATAGTTAAGCAAAAACGCTGAATAACAACATTTTACATAAATCCATAATAATATACTAATATTATTATTGTGAAAGTGCGTTTGTTTGTTTATAACTTTATAACGCCTTACGACTCACACACACACATATACCGCCACATGGAAAAGAATACAGGCTACTTTTATCCTGGTCAATAAACATATCGTCATAGTCGTAGAATACTGACGGATCTGACAAAGATTACATATAAATATCCGTCAGTATTCTACGACTATGACGGATTCATTGTCACGCAAATGAAGTCGCGGGTAAAAGCTAGTTATAGCAACAAACTACAATAATCTTCAATAAACAAAAACCAATCAACCAATCAAATCCTTAACTTAAGGGATCCATTAATTATGTAAATTCTATGGCGAGTTATATTCGTATGAAATTAAACGTATTAAGTTTTGTCCAATCTACAAATAATTGCCAAACAATAATGCTTGCAAACTTCTGTTTCTTCTCACTTCCCTGCCACCGATAAAGAAGTATTATTCAAACAAAAACCTTACGCGCTCCGAAACAAAGCTGTCTGGAGTCGCTCCTGAGGCTATAATAAAAAAAAAAATATCTCTACGATTTTCCCGCCATGGTAAGCTATGTTTACGAGCTCTTATATTTTCTGTTAGCAAAACATTACGATTTTAGTGTTTAGGGTCCTGTTTTTATGCAGCTTCGACTGAAAACAAACTGACGGGCAAACGATTGGAAGTGTAAACCGTGGTCCATAGAAAATAAGCATTTATAGACAATTTACATTGCATAATACTAATATACAGGGGGGGGGAAGGGATTGTTAGTAATAGAGTTTGACAGCCCCATTGCTAGCAATATGTCTTATAAGGTCAACCTCCATATGGTTCCCCTTGGAAACCATCGTGAACAATTCTTGTTGAATTCGTCACGATGGGCTAACTGACCTGCTTCATCCTCACCTATCATCCTTCACTGGAGCCCCGCCGGTGTATACCGATAGCGCAGATGGGGTTACCATTCCATTATCATCCATTAAAAAAAATACTAATATACATATTATTGTATAGTACACACTCCGATATTATTGGCATTCCTGAGCCTGTTTTTTTTTTGTTTTAATGAAATAGTAACCCCGCCTGCAACGTTGCCAGATTGGGTAATTTCCCCCAATTTTGGGTAAAAATTAATTATTGGAGAATTGATTGCTTGGAGATATGATATACTTTATGAAATTTTTGGAGAAAAGTGAAATGATCTTGAAGCTTGGCGTGAATTTACTGGGTACAGAGGAATAACATCTGAGTCCTCAGGGATTTTTGGAGAGAAATGTGAAATGAGCTTACCACTTTCCATCAGGTGGGCCGTCAGCTTGTTTGCCATTCAAAGTTGTATAAAACAAAATATACAAAAGGCGGCCTTATCGCTACAAGCAATCTCTTACAGACAATTTGGCATACATAGTAAATAAGTATAAAGAGAAAGGTAGATGGCGCAAGTCAGACACCGTAAATATAAAAAAAGTAAACAAATAAAAGGCTAATTTATAATCTTTACTAAACTAGTATTTTTTTTTTTAATGGAAGATAATGGAATTATAGTCTTTACTAAACTAGCATTATGAATGTGATAGTGTGTTTGTTTGTTACGATGGTTTTTCGACCTGGTACGGTATATTGATAGCAATGAGAACTAACCTCCTCATTACCAACAATCCAATTCCCCCCACTGAACTAGTATTATGAATGTGATAGTGCGTTTGTTTGTTTGTTTTTAGCGTCTTAACGGTTTCACTGTACACTATGAAATTTGATATATAGATTACTATATCGGATGGAGAAGCATAAAATTTATTCATTATTTCGATCAGTAAATATATCATTTAAAATTTACTCACATTTCTCCAAGCTTTTTTATTTTATTTTTAATCTACTTAGTATGGCAAACAAGCTGACGGCCCACCTGATGGAAAGTGGTAACCGTCGCCTATAGACATGAGCAGTACCGTGGAAATAACAGAGTATACTGTTTCGCCCATGATACCCCCCATGCGTTGACATTCCTGAGGACTCAGATGTTATTCCTCTGTACCCTGTAAATTCACGCCATATCCCACCCTTCAAACCGAAACACAGCCATGCAAACACAACTGCTTCACGGTTGAAACACGAATGGGACAGAGGTACCCAAGCAATCGACTTTTGTTCAAAGTCTCCCTCTGGTCTTCCTCTCCCTTTATGCACATTCTGTATAAATACTCCTTGTAGACATCTCTACTGTGCGCAATAAAGAGTTTATTATTATTATTGACTGACCCGGCGAACTTCGTTCCGCCTAACAGTCGATTCATTCATTTTTTATTTTATTTTTTTACTATGATACCTACTTAGTTTAATTTTATATTTAGGTACTTATTCCTTACTTAATTTTTTACTGACAATAGCTGTGGTATACACGTGAGCTGCGCGCGGTACTGGGCAGTATTTGGACATTGTCACATTACTTTATTTTTCTATTTTTTTTTATACAACTTAGAATGGCAAACAAGAGTGTATTGCTAACAATGGGTTTATTAGACCCCCATTACTAATAATCCCTTTCCCCCTGATATCCGGTTTAGGCTACTGACGTCTATTTTTATTCAAAATCAAAAAGCGAGAATTTTGACTGTATTCTGACATTAGTCCGATAAAAAATACCTCTTTTCACCGACTTCAAATAAAGAAGTAGTTCCCAAATACATTGTAACTTTTGTATTTGTTACCGTGATGTTAATGCCGTCATTTATAAGCCAATTTAAAAAGTTCTTTTTTTGTTTGAAAGAATACATTTTAATTTTTTTTTTTAAATGTGTTACAATAGAATGGCAACACTGCCGCAATATCGAAATGTATAATTATTTTTATTTCCGCCGTTAATGTCCAAAAAAAAAGGTAAATATAGAAAATCCATTATGTCTTTTCAATAAAAGGGAATACAGTATTACTAAATACATGAAAGGAAGGCATGAATACATATTTAAAACTAGCTCATCTGTTGCCGAACAAAAATAGACCAGAAACGGAGCATATTTGTGTTAGAATATTCGCCCATACGTTCTTTATGGACATGAAGATTCCCTTGAATTTTTAATGCTCAAAGGACATACTATTTTTATGAAATAATCACATCAAAAGATACCAGAATTAAAGTATGTTTCCTTTCATTTTGTTTGCAATACAGGTTTTTGTTAGGCAAAAAGTGTCTTAATTTTAATATTAATGCGTTACTCTTTTATTTTTTATACAACATAGAATGGCAAACAAGCTGACGGCCCACCTGATGGAAAGTGGTAACCGTCGCCTATAGACATGAGCAGTACCATGGACATAACAGAGTATACTGTTTCGCCCATGATACCCCCCATGCGTTGCCATTCCTGAGGACTCAGGTGTTATTCCTCTGTACCCTGTAAAGGTCAGTTAGCCCATCGTGTTGAATACACCTGGAATTCAGCACGATAGTTTCTAGGGGAGACCACGTGGATGTCGACCTGACAGAGTACATTGCTAGCAATAGAATTTTTTTTTAACAGTTACATATTTATTCTCCTGTTCGTCGTACCTGTTGATCATGCTGTGCATCGAAGATGCTCTGCTGCCCTGACTGGTCCGCCTGCTGGTAGCCGAGCCCTTGCAAGTTCATATTGTAGGGCGTCCATTGGGTCTGGTCAGCGAAGGATGTTGCGACTAGCAGCGCGCTCACGAACTAGAAGAAATAAGTTCGTTTATGAGAGGAGACTTTGTACAAAAGTCGTTTGCTTGGGCACCTCTGTCCCATTCGTGTTTCAACCGTGAAGCAGTTGTGTTTGCATGGCTGTGTTTCGGTTTGAAGGGTGGGATATGGTGTAAATTTACCGGGTACAGAGGAATTACACCTGGATCCTCAGCATGGGGGTATCATGGGCAAAACAGTATACTCTGTTATGTCCATGGTACTGCTCATGTCTATAGGCGACGGTTACCACTTTCCATCAGGTGGGCCGTCGGCTTGTATGCCATTGTAAGTTGCATAAAAAGAAATCATCTCTGTAACGCGTTTTAGGAAAAACTTTGTTCAATCTACTTAATTCTGAGTAAGGTATAAGATATTTATAGCGTGTAGCTATAGTCTGGAGCAGCCTTCTCGAGACATTTCAGGGCGCGTGGACACGGGCTATTTATCAAAGATTACTTTACGCCATATTTCAAAAATGTCCGACACTGACTTCGATGTTGTGACCATAAATAGCTTGGGAGAAACAGGACTATATTTCTTGGAAATAATTTTATGAGAAACGTACTGTTCAAGCGTCCACGAATCTTTTCTCTTCAAGGACTCGACTAATTGTCAAGAAATTTGGTTTATTATATATATATATATATATATATATATACTATTTGAAGTGAAGAAGGACTTGGCATACTTCTTATCCCTGCATTCTTATCACGTGGACGTAATAAGTTTAAAAAGAAAATAAATTATTTCTAATACCGATAACAATCAATATTTATGGGGGGAAAAGGATTGTTAGTAATGGAGACTGAGGATCTCATTGCTAGCAATATACCCAACCAGGTCGACCTCCTCGCGGTTCCCCCTGGAAACTATCATGGTTAATTCCTGATGAATTCATCATGATGGGCTAACTGACCTGTTTTCATTCTTATCTATCACCCTTCATTGCTGCACCGCCAGCGTATCCCGTTAGCGCAGGCCATAACATTTTCTGTTTGTGCTTAATATTATGTTTTATGTACAATAAAGAATCAAGAGATGGCGCTAGGTTCGCCCATTGACAGGTAGGATTTAAACATGCAACAGTCGACAAATGCCTCTAACTACCTCAACAAAGATTACTTTCGTGACAATTTTAAGTCTTATATACATACATTCAAGTTAAACTTTAAAAAAAGTATTTATGCCAAAGATGTTAAATTTAATTTTTGTATGTAGTCTATAAAAACGATAAAACTGCAAGTAGAGCGTATCGGCGCACGCGTCACGGGTTTTTAAGCAATTTGGTGCGACCCTAATTTAATTCTTTGTACAGTACATTCTCTCACGTCTATGGGAAACTTTAGCAGTAAATAAAATTGAATATATTTCATATTTGGAGACATATAACATTTAAAATTCTTGACTTTATGTGATTAAATATGTATTTAGGGTTTTATGGTTTACAGGTAGCGTCACGCCGCCTCTATTCAATACATTATGGAATATCCACTATATATGTACACTTATCATTTAAAGTACACTCGATTTGCATTTTTGATGATTAATATCATCATCATCATCATCATCTCAGCCATTATCTCTATCTTTCTCTCTACTATGCATTTGAGGTAGTCACTCCGTTTAGTGGGCGGGGTTGTCCTTCACTGCGTTTGCCCGTACGAGGTCGCCACTCAAGAACCTATATAATTAATATCTCCGATAATAATCATAAAAAAATATCGAATATATAATATTACTGCAATCACTTGAACTTCGTTTCACTGTCTTTGTTGAGAAATACTTTTTATTATTTCCTAGCTTTTACCCGCGACTTTATCCGCGTGACCGGAACAAAAGTCTATATCCTCTTCCATCTCGTATAACACGTCAATATCAAATTTCGTAATGATTGGTTAAATTGTTAATGCGCTACAAAGTAACAAACAAACAAACAGTGGCGTAACAATTGGGTGACAGGGCTGGCAAAATGCCACGGGCCCCCGACCCAAAAGGGCCCCGGCTCAAGAGGCCGCAAGCTCAGATTTTTTTGCATTGTACCTGAGTATTTTATTTTACGTGAAAAGTTTTTCTTTTTACTGATAGGGCCCCATCAAAAGAATTTGCCACAGACCCCAAATGGTATAGTTACGCCACTACAAACAATTATCCGATTCACATTTATAGTAATAGTTCCTTACTTTCGAAACGTCATCATCAATCATCAATGACAACTTGTGATTTAGTACTTTTACAAATCATACTCGAAAATGTACAAAAATAAATGGGCCACCCATTCCTTTCCCGTGGGTGTCGTAAGAGACGACTAAGGGCGAAAGATGGGCAGCAGCGTCCCTCTTAAAACATTTCTAAAAGCCTAACTGCGTTTATCAAGCGTGGCAACTACTGGCAGAACTCCCTTTATGGAGAATGCTTGCATCCAGCAGTGGACAGTTAACGGCTTTAATAATAATAAGATACTGCCCGCATTGTACGCCGGTTTCTCTCCCTGGGGCCCTGAACCCCGACCGACTGTGCTTCTGCCGGGGGTTAGTTGCCATCTCCTCTCCTTAAGAGGGGAGATGTGATTATTTGAAAAAAAAATCCTGCGAAACAACAAAAGCGTGTCACCCTAGTTGACAACACGCTCGCTATCAGCGTGTTGCACGTAGTGTCACGTCGCTCCTGTTTAATATATCATGGGGTTAGCAGCCAGCCACTATATCTGTACACGCATCACTTGCAGTCCACTCGACGGTTCCCATAGATATAATGGGAAAATACATTATCCCTCTTCGTCACAATGACGTCAAAAGTCTATTTTTAAGCGATATAAAAAAGTAGAAGGTACGCAATTCGCTTGTATATATATATATATATGATTTGTACGAAATTTGGTACACTGTTACCTTACCTAGGCTATATCCTAACTTAGCGCATAGAATATTTAATGTCTTAATTCACGCGGGAGAAGCAACGGTATACAAATAGTTCTATTAGATAATTTTATAAATGCCAAAGTTAGTAAAGAAGAATTGATGGATGAATGTTTGTTTCTCTTTCACACAAAAACTACTGAACGGATTTAAATGAAATTTAGTACACAGATAGGTTATATTCTAATGTAATACATAAGATTCTTTATGTACAAATTTTTACGAGTGAAGCAACGTGATACATCTAGTACATAAGAGTGTCATTTCTATCCAGTCTATTTATTTTGTGGTTATATTTTAATGAATATAACTTCATTGGGGGGAAAGGGATTGTTAGTAATAGAGACTGAGAATCCCATTGCTAGCAATATACCCAACCAGGTCGACCTCCTCGCGGTTCCCTCTGGAAACTATCATGATTAATTCCTGATGAATTCATCATGATGGGCTAACTGGCCTGATTTCATTCTCATCTATCACCCTTCACTGGTGCTCCGCCAGCGTATCTCGTTAGCGCAGGCGGGGTTACTACTACATACTATTTTCACCCATTAAAAAAAATTACTTCATTAGCACTTTATAATTGCACGTAAACAATATAATAGGCCATTAAAAATACCATAGACGAACTCGATCAGATATTATGTAAAAACATAATTATAAAATAGTATTTACAAATACTCTTTCACTGTCATTATAATTTATTCAATTCATACACGACGTTACGCCCTAGTAAGCATTCTGCTTATCGGAAGTGACATAATAATAAGCGATACACACAAATTCGTCTTTTATTTTTAACTGAAAATAGACCGGAATAATCTCGCGGTGAGAGGGAAAAAGGCGCGAAAAAAAACTGCACGGCTCCGGTGAATGGGACGTTGCATCACGCGCCACAGATACACGATTCGGTAACGCTCGGCTGTCACGGTGACATTGAATTTTGACATCTGTCAATTTTACTTCCCGCGTTGCATGTTCGAAAGTTAAAGTTCGCTACGCAAATAGAGAAGAAGAATTAAATCGTGATTAAAATAATATTGACTAGTATTCTCGCTAGTGGTGATGTTTTAGACAAGAAAATAAATAATGAAATTCTGCCATGGTATACGATCTGGACAGCCATGGCCATTCTGCCTACAGTGGCTGACTGGTGAGAAGAGATATTAATGCATACTAACGGCCCCATTGCGGGGAGAAAGGGATTGTTAGTAATGGAGTCAAATAGCCCCATTACTAGCAATATACCCTGCCAGATCGACCTCCATGTGGTTCCTCCTGGTAACCATCGTGGCTAATTCTAGTTGAATTCGTCAGGATGGGCTGACCTGCTTTCATCCTCATCAGTCATATATCACTGGTGCCACGCCAGTGTATACCGATAGCGCAGTCGGGGTTACCATACCATTATCTCCCATTAAAAAAACGGCTCCATTGGAGGGAGGGGGAGGATTGTTAGTAATGCGGGCTACCAGTTCCATTGCTAGCAATATACCTTGTCAGGTCGACCTCCACTTGTTCCCGCCTGGAAATTATCGTGCTGAATTCATGCTCATCACCATGGGATAACTGACTTGCCTTTTTATATACTGTTACTGCAGGTGTGGTTACCATTCCATTGCCATATATTAAAAAAAAATTCACGCGCTTAAAAAAGCAGTGACTGACTAAGAAAAGAAGAGAATTATCTCAGTGTTCTTATTTTAAAACTGCCCGTTACTTGGTACGCACATCTCAGCATAATATATCTGTATGAAGTAAGAAAACAAATGAACTATCCAAAGGATTGTCAAAATAAAACACAAACCAGTTTTTATAGTAGACTGTTTTCAATAATTTTTATTTTTTTCGTTTTATTCATTATAATGGGGGATTAAAAAGAAAAAAGAAAAATACAGCTCGAAAATCAAAAAAATAAAATAAATTTGTATGGGAATCGCTACTTCGAAATATTTTTAATAGATAGCGTTGTAAATGATACGAATTTCAACGGGTCGGCTAGTATTTCATATATTTTTTTAATGGATGAGAATGGAATGGTAACCCCGCCTGCGCTATCGGAATATGCTGGCAAGGCATCAGTGAGGGATGATAGGTGAAAATGAAGGCAGGTTAGTTGACTCATCGTGAAGAATTAAACACGATGATAGTTTCCAGGGGGAACCGCGTGCAGGTCGTCCTGATACGGTATATTACTAGCAATGCGGCTGTTATTACACATTACTAACAATTCCTTTCCTCCCAGTATTTAATATTAGTAAGATAAAGATGTACTTATTTTTAACCGACTTCAACAAAAAAGGAGATACTCAATTAGTTTGTATATCTTTATGTTTGTCACCTCATAACTCCGTCAGTTCTAAACCGATTTGGAAAATTCTTTTTTTTATCTAAAAGAGATATATTTACGTGAATTACTCCCATACGGAGGAAAATCGATTGCTTGAGTCCTCTGAATGACCCATTGGTGTTTCAAACAGTGATACAGTTGTGTATGTCCATGGCTGTGTTTCGGTTTGAAGGGTGTATACGACGGTTACCACTTTCCATCAGGTGGGCCGTCAGCTTGTTTGCCATTCTTTGTATAAAAAAAAAATATAAATCAAAATAACTGGTATTGTCAAAATTGAAGTCGATTTTTTTTATAAAACACAATCTTAAACTATCAATATTATTAAGGATAAAGATAAGGTACATATTTTTCATCCACTACATCCCATCCCGTACATTCTGTACAAGTAGGATGTACATAGTTGTATATAAATCTACTTCTTGTAACAATAAAGGCATTAACCCACCCACTATACCATAATTACAACGATAAATAACAAGTATGTACGAAGCGCAGACGGCCTGCTTCTTGCTGCACGGTCCTCTACTCTGTACACGTTATTACACAAGTGTAAACACACGCTCGATTATATGGAACGGAACCGTAACGGTTTTAATAGATGATAATGCAATGGTAACCCCGCCTGTAATAACGATATACGCCGGCAGGGTACCGGTGAGGGATGTTAGGTGATGAAAGCAAATTAATTAGCACATCTTGATGAAATTCAGCATAAGGGTTTCCAGTGGGAAGCACGTGGAGGTCAACTTAGTTGGGTATATTGCTAGTAATGAAGCCCTTAGCTTCAATTACTAATAATCTCTTCACCCCCCCCCCCTTTACAAATTTGAATACTTATATATGTAGAAGCGGCGTCTTTTTTGCAAAAGTCACTAATAACTGTATTACCGTTTTGTAGTATATCAGGTGAGCCGTCAGCTTGTTTGCCTTTCTAAGATACATAAAAAAAATAATTGCATTTTCTCCGACACTTCGTACGCATGGATTTCAAATGTAGGAAAACTAATTAGATCTAGAAATAGAAAAATAAGTTAGATCTTCAAGAATACAACTGTGAAAACCGCGTCTAATATGATGTAGTAGTCATTGTGTGATGCCGAAACAAACATACAGTTAAACAGACAAAATTTCAAAAAAATATTGTTTAACTTCTATTTCTCTTATTATAATCCCTCATATTAACTTTTTCAAAATATTTCCCGTATACAGATATCATCCAGTTACAATTTTATTACGTAAAATTGTGTTCAAACCGAAACACAGCCATGCAAACAAAAGTCTGAAACACGAAACATAAAATCTTTTGTACAAAGTCTCCCTCTGGCGTATATATACAGATATTATCCAGTTACAATTTTATTACATCGTGTTCCTAAAAGTCTAACATAAAATCTGGTGTCTGTTTTATCTTGATCCGCTATCTAAAAGTCTACTTTATTGTTTTTTTTTTACTTCTGAAATCTACGCGCACGAAATAGCGAGTAAAAAGATAGTTTTATAACAAAAAAAAACCGCAACATCCAACGTCCTCTTTGTGAAACAAAATGATTCCGCGTTCTAAATTCAAATATTTTTCTAATGTGTCTATGAAAAATTTAATCTCATATTATTATTAATTTTAAGGACTAGCAGTAATCTTCGTGAAATTCAGATTCAGAATGATTACTAATCACTAATAATTTTACGCACTTTTTCGACCAACTTCAAAAAGAAAGAGATTGTCAATTCAGCTGTATTTTTTTAAGTTTGTTACATCATAACTCCGTTAGTTTTCAACCGACATCGAAAATTATGTCTTTTTCTAGCTAAAAGGATATACTCGTACTTACAGATTAGTCCTATAGAATTTTTTTTAAAATCGGTTTAGTAGTTTAATTTTTAGACATAGGTTTTTTCACAATTAAAGTCACTTTTTTTGTGGGACACAATCTTTAATTTTTGCGATGCAAAGTTTTCCAATTTGTCCCGTATGTTTACACAACATGAAGCGCATTGTCGGATATCCGTGATATATGTCTTTACTGATATTTAGGAAGGCATTATGTGTTTCTCTAATATCTAAAACTACGTAGCAATTATTTTAGAGTTTAACCAGTATTCTTATAGTTTATTGTGTTCAGACTCATCTAAACCGACCCGTAGAGCCAGTGTTGCCAGATTGAGCATTTGTTTGCAAAATTGTTGAAGAAATTTTTGAAGAAAAATGAAATGAGTTTCGAGAAAAGTGAATAATTTTTTTGGGCAGCTTTGATACTTGTAAAGTATATAGAAATATCGAAATGAGATCGACGAGAGAAGGAGAGGATAAGATAAGTTATTGATAGGAATAGAAGAAATGTCCTTATTTTTCGTCATTAACTTTGTCATATGATAAAATGTAGTGAAAAATTATACGAGTTTGTAATTGGGTAAAAATCATGGAAATTTTATCGATTTGAATAAAAAATCTTTTACGTTTGAATAAATCTAAATCGCATCTGGCAATCATGTATAGAAGTTATATTGTAAACTATTATATGAATAATAGTTATTATCAAAGATTATTTGATTAATTGAGATAAAGTCTACAAGTAAACCTAAAATTTAAAATGACTGGTTAAGCCATTACAGCGGCAGAATAACTAAACTAAATAACTATACTTAACTAAGTAAACAAGCCAAGAGATAACAAACAAACAAACTCACTTTCACATTTATAATATCAGTAAGGATTCTCTTACTCTTTCACCCTCATAAGAAACTAAACATGGACACAAAGTACGCAAAAATGGCACGTTAACCAACAGTTGACCGATCGTTTTCGCGGCGTTTTTTTACACTCAACGCTCCATCTAATCGTATGTATATCAGATATTTCACATAAAAAAAAAACATGGTAAAAAATGTAAAATCACATTCCGACCTTTTTTTCGAGCACAATTAATTAAATTAATATATTAATATATAATTAATGGACACAACTCACATATGTTTGGAACGAGCACATTTCGATTGTCGTCAACAACACACAGTCAATTGATAACACTACAGACTTAACGGACATTTTTATAGTGAAGTGACAGGCTGTGTTCATTTTGTTGTACTTACCAATGCCAATTTAAATTGACCCCTTCCCTCTTACTACTATTTGTATAGCGTAGCTCAAGTTAAATTGGACTATTATATCATAGATTTACAATCATTCCTAGATACTAAAAACTGTTTCTTTTGCAATGTTTTATATACATTGCTCGATAATTTAATGATTTATTTTTCAGTATAAGTATTGAGACGGCAATGTATTTTAGATTTTGAATTACTTCGCTCTTAGAGAACTGTGTTAGTTCCGCGATTTGTTTTTTTAACCTCATGTTTTGGTTTTTGGTTTTTTTTTCGTCGGTAAATGAATGGATCGGTGTATCGGAAGTATAGTATGTTGAACTAAATTTATTTTTTATATAGAGTACTAACAAACACGTACTATATGTAAAAGTTTCTATGTATATACAGCCATAGATTAAATTAACAATTTGAAAGAAAGAAAAAAAAATTTGAAGATATTGCTTCATTAAAAATTGCCAAATATTCTATCGTAAATATAAGACAAACAACACAAAAGAATAAATAATAAAAGAAAAACACTATCAATGGCAAAAAAAATCTGTCCAGAATTGGCAAAGACATCGCGTAATATATACGCAAAAAAAATCAAGCGAATTTAGACTAGCATGCAACGGTCCGTCCGTCCGTCACGTTCATGAAAATTTGTACAGAGATTTGGATGTTTGTTACCAAATCACCCTTAAACGGCTGGTTGGATTTGAATGAAATTTTGGTGCACAGATAGAGCACAGAGTAGGACAAGCATATTCATATCCTAGTTCACAAGAGTAAAACCTCAGTATAATGCATATGTCTAAAAATTAAATTTACTAAAAGTAATTTTCCTTCATCATCGCCTTCATCATCATCATCATGTCAGCCGTTAACTGTTCTCTGCTCAACATTATGGCCCTTAACCCTTCTTTGCATACTGGTGGAAATTTCCATCATAGCATTGAATGCCCAAAAATTATATAAAAGAACAAGTTCACTTTAAGTTGATCGTGTCTGGATACCTTTTTAATGTCCATTGCAGAAAAAAAAACATGGCTGTCAAATTTATTTTTTTAACCATTTTTCCTTTAATTTTGAACATGAATTATATTACCTTAATTTATTTCACCAATAAAAAAAAATCATGCAAAGAACCGTTCTTCTTAAGGAAGGTTCAGACATACACAAGACATTTTATTTATTTACTTTAACTATAACATTTAAGTCGATTGGTACACATGTATGACTGTAACTACTAATGAACTGTCAGTTTTCTCATATTGGGTTTGCTGGAAGAAATCTCTATTGGAGATAAGCTCGCCTTTGTGCACTGTTATGTTTGTTTTTACATTTCAATAACCTTTTGTGTACAATAAAGAATAAAGATTTTTCCAGTAGTTGCCACGTTTGGCAGGCGGGTTGGGAACCGCAGTTAGGCTTTGGTGGTTTTTTAAGAGTAATGCTACTGCCTATCCCCTGACCATTAAGTTCTCTTAGTCGCCTCTTACGACACCCACGGTTAAGAAAGGGGAATTTTTATTCGAATCAACTTAATTTTAAGCCTTTTTCAATTATATTTCTAACCAACTCAATTCGAAAAAAATAATTTTAGTTGAAAGATATTGATAAAAAATTTGGTTAATGCTCTTTTAAAAAAAAACCTCTGACCTAGTCGTGCTTCTGTTGTGAAGCTGTTTCGGTTTGAAGGATGGGATGTGGCAGTGAAATTACAAGGTACGAAGACATAAAAGGCCGGCAGCACACCTGCAATGCCGCTAGTGTTGTGGGTGATCATGGCGGTAGTCACTTTCCATCAGGTGAGCCGCATGCTCGTTTGCCCCCTTTATTGTACAAAAAAAAAAAAAACATAGCACCTTAAAGGTTCAAGAATTGTAATGCATAGGTCGTGATATAAAATTCTCGAGTGGCGACCTCGTACGGGCAAATGCAGTGTAAGACGATCCCCCACTCGATGGAGTGACGACTTCAAATGCACTGCGAGAAGTCAGTGGATGCAGGTGGCTCAGGACTATTCTTTGTGGCAATCTAAATAAGAACTATGATACGACACGACGAACTTATGAACATTATAATAGAAGGTAAGATAGAAGGAAGGAGGGGGAGAGGGAGACCGAGATATAGTTACATCAGGCAGATCAAGGAAGGAGTTGGTGTCGTGTCGTAGGTGAAGAGACTCGCTGACATTCAAGATGTAAAGAGACTCGCTGAAAATCGTAGTGAGTGGCAAGAGCTCCACCGACAAGAGCGCAGCTCTTAAATAGGATAGATAGAAAAGTCTAAATACGCCCTTCTTTAATAACCCCCATGCTTTAGTCTGTAGGGAAACATCGGCAGGTAAGTCATTCCACAACAATCTAAGCGTTTGTTTGTAAAGTATGCTAGTTCTTGTTATATATATATTATTATTTTTTATTTATATTAACTGTAAAATAAAAATGCCGTCTGTTGACTTGATGTATTATATATATATATATATATATATATATATATATATATATATATATATATATATATATATTTTTTTTTTATTTTTTTTTTATTTTACAATTAATAAAATATAAATAATAATATATAATAAGAAGAACCAGCATATTTTACAAACAGCGTTGTTGCATAAAAAATGGTATAAAATCATAGATATAAAGAAGTGTTAAGTAACAAGAATAATTATTTGAGTTCACTCACTTTTTTGCTGTCTGTACTAACGTAACCGCAATATAAAAATAATACCTAATATCCGGATTTATATGGCAACACATTTGCGGTTGTAAATACCTCATGTTTATAACTTTACATTGCGACATACATATGTATACTTTGTACACATATTTATTCGTACACATATAATTTGTTTAAATACATTTTAATCCGACCACAAAACAGACCAGAGGGAGATTTTGAGGAGAGAAAAATCGTGTGCTGGGCACCTTTGTCCCATTCGTGTTTCTACTACGAAGCTGTTGTGTTTGCATGGCTGTATTTCTGTTTGAAGGGTGGGATATGGCAGTGAATTTACTGGGTACAAAGGAATAACACCTGAGTTCTCAGGAATGGCAACTCATGGGGGGTATCACGGGCGAAACAGTATACTCTGTTATGTGCATGGTACTGCTCATGTCTACAGGCAACGGTTACCACTTTCCATCAGGTGGAACGTCAGCTTGTTTGCCATACTAAGTTGTATGAAAAAAGACAGTGAGAGAGATTGTTAATAGAGTTAAATACCAGTCTCATTGCTGTCAATATACTCTGTCAAGTCGAGCTCCACGTGGTCACCCCTGGAAACCATCATGCTAAATTTCAAATGTATTCATCACGATTGACCATCTTTGCCTTTTCATTCTCACATATCATCCTTCACTGGTGCCCCCCAGCGTATACCGTTAGCACGGGCGGGGTTACTATTTCCATTAAAGATATAAAAAAGTCCATATAGTCCCCCCTTGGAAACCATCGTGCTGAATTTCAGGTGTTTTCATCATTAGTTTACTTATAAAAAATAAAATTATGCTCCACAAAAAGCTGACTATCTATAGGCGACAGTCACCACTTTCTATCAACTTGTTTACCATTGTATGTCACATAAAAAACACTAACTTGACAACAGGAAACGCTATATATAGCGTATCCTGTTGTCAAGTTAGTATTCAGTTTTAAGTGCAGACGTTTCGACCCACACAATTTTGCAACCGACTTTTGAAAGGAAGGAATTTATTTAAAGGAACACCAACAGCATATTGCATTATAACATATCTCTCTCTCTCTCTCTTCGTCCTCTTCATTACTGAAGGTCGTGTCCTTGAAAGGTGTCTGTTGCCTCTCTTATGATGTTATTCCATTTCGCACGGTCTTCAGCTTCTCGCAGGGCAGCTGCAATTGACAGTCCCGTAACGGCGGTTACTTGGTCCGACCGTCGACTAGGCGATCGTCCGCGTGGTCTTTTCCCCTCTATCTTGCCTACAACCATTAGTTTGTCAAGATTGTCGGACTGTCGTCGAGCAATATGACCGAAGTATCCGAGAATCCTCCGATAGCAGACTGTCGAGAGCCTATCTTTTATGCGTATTATAACATATATGACAAACATTAAATACAATACAGTATTAATGCACATGCCTATTGAAGGTATTCACAGCATTTACTTTAACACATTTTTTTTTCTCAATTCTCAATCACAATTCGAGATACTCAAATCGGTTGTATTTTTTTATTATATTTGTTACCTTATAACTCCGTCAGTTACGAATATAAACCAATTTGGGAAAACAGCTTTTTTATCTCAAAGGTTAACTTGCAGATTGTTCTCATAAAAATCTTAACGAAATTCAGAAGTTTAGTTTTTAAATAAAAATAACTAGTTTTTCCACAATCTTTAATTATGTAATAGAATATTCTCACAATACTTAAGTTGAAAGAAGTGTTGCCAGGTGTCACGATTTGCGCGGGACGTCCAAATTTTCAGGGGTCTGGGGACGCGTCCCTATTTGTACCTGATCGGGACGCTAAATGTCCCGATTAATCAAAAAATGAAAAAGTTTTTTCATAAAAAAAAATATATTTACGCTACGTATATTATATTTACACTTAAAGTACGATTTAATTTTATAATTTGTACTTGTCCAGCAACACTGATCACTTGTTATGTAAGATTAAATACATATTTAATTTAGGTTTCCATTCGTGTTTTTACCATGAAGCGATTGTGTTTGCATGGCTGTGTTTCGGTTTGAAGGGTGGGATATGGCGTGAATTTACAGGATACAGAGGAATAACACCTGAGTCCTCAGGAATGGCAACGCATGGGGGTATCATGGACGAAATAGTATACTCTATTATGTCCATGATACTGCTCATGTCTAAAGGTGATGGTTACCACTTTCGATCAGGTGGGCCGTCAGCTTGTTTGCCATTATAAGTTGTATAAAAAAAAAAGGTA